TAAAACATACGTGAAGTCCTCATGATTTGAAACAGCCTTTGGCTTGCCTTTGTTTAGTGAAAAGTCGAATTGGAACAGCACCAACATTTCAATAGCAATGAGAAAATGGCCACTAAGATTTAATTTACAACGAATTATGATATGATCAGCTCAACGTTGAACCATTCAATTTTAGTTGATTTTTTTATTTTTTATTTTTTATAAAAAAATGTGTAAAAAAAAAAAAAAAAGAGAGAGAATAATGTAATAACAACTTATAGTAACTTTTTATTTTACTAAAGGTGTACTTACGTGTATAAGTGGATTTATTATCTAATAGGTTCTATAAAAAAAAATTGTCATAAAAAAAGTCACTAATTATAAGTTTTTGCGACAATTTATAAAAATATGACAAAAAAAAGTCAATAATTGTCAATTTTTAACGACATATATAAAAAATTGTCACAAAAAAATTATTTTTAGTAATAATTTTACCAAGACTTATTTTCAATAGGACTTGATAGGAATTAAGTTCAACTATTAGGACCTATTGGTAGTTTAATCTAAGTCTCCCCAAATAAGACCTTAGCCCTCCTCATTTTATTAGCCTCGTTGCTTAATAAAAATCCTATCCGCCCATCCAAGCCAGGTTTCATCACAATTCTGAACCTTCATATGAAATAATAGAACCTTCTTCGAAAAGAGCCAACTTCTTGTTAATTAAATTCAATCCTCGTGCAATCCATGGTGTGTCGATGTTTAATCAAAGGCTATCAGCCTCTGCTTATAAAGTTGCTAGCTGATCCAGTTTAGATACTTTCAACAGTCAAGTCTGTTAAGAGCAGTTAAATTTGTTACTCTCTCCACCTCAAAATAATAATCCATTTTAGAGAATTTAACTTTTTTTTTAATACAATTATTATATTTTAAAAATACTACTAATTTTTTAAAGTTACTCTTTGATAGTATATTTTTTTAAAAAATATCAATTATCATAATTATACTTTGTGTTATTAGTGAATTTGAAAGAAACACAAAATAGTAAGTTCATATTATTTTATTCCTTAATTTTTTAAAAAGAACTAATATTTTAAGACAAGGAAAAATGAAACAAGAAACTAATATTTTGAAACGAAGCGAGTAGAATAAGTTAGCTGTGTGTTTGGTAACCGAATAAACCAAGTCAAACAGAGGAGAAAAGGCGAGAATTGTAGAGTGAGGTGTTCACTCATGTAAGTTGTAACCAATAGCAGAAGATATAAATAAAAGGGAGATAGCAAAAGAAGGATATGAGAGAATTGTTATCGTGGACACAGGCAAATTTTCAAACAAGTTTATTGAATGGGATATTTAAGATCACCATTATAACCGTTTGCTACCACCAAACTTTCAATTCACCATATCCAACAAAAAATCAAAAAGCTAACAATTTACCAACCATCAACTGCCTAAGAAGCAAGTTATGCATAACCAAAAAAATTAAAACAAAGATCAGGAGAGAAGGTCCACTGTTCCCATTCCCTTCTGTCCTGTCCAACAGTTTAGGCTTCAGCAAACCTGTTAAAAGAACAGCAAACAATCAGTAAGGCCAACATAATTACAATAGCAAACAAATGTCACGAAAACTGCAAATTATAGTAATGCAATAAAAATAGAAATTAAAAGAAATAAACATTACCCCAGTTCAGAGAGTTTCATGTGAGCTTCTGCATAATCTGCAAAGAAAGCATCCTCATCCTGAAAAACCAAACAATTTACTAGTTAAATCAACAAAAACTACATGTTACAGTATAAGTAAAGCTAAATGGAGAGGATTAAAAAATATGTACAAACCGCAGCATATTTCTCAACAAGAGGGCGGAAAGCAGGATCGTTAAGAAGAGCCTTATCAGATGGCAGCTGTAGAAGGCCTTCCTTCTCTCCAGTGAGGAGTTCTCTGTTCAAACATAAGAATATAAAATAAAATGATATACATGGAACAGTTAAAGAACAATAGGTAAGCATACAAGTGCATAGGCATCTAAAACATACGTGAAGTAGGTGTTATCAAAGATGAGTGGATTGGTAGTCCAGGCTCCATCAAATCCAGAACGCTCCTTGTGGCACCTTCCCTGAAAGAAAATAAATAAATAAAATGTGAACACGAGACATCATAACGACTAATCACCATTAAAAGTACAAGGTTACCAAAGGAAAGTGGTGAAGCTAAAAAATAAATAAAAAAAAGGAGAGGAAAGGGCATATAGTATATACCAGTGTATGGCCACCAGAGAGAACAACAATGTCTTTGTCACTGAGGCCCATGTGTTTAACAAACACATCCCTCAAATGGTCACATCCTGCAGTAGAAGCCACAGATTAATGGTCAAAAACATATATTACCAAAAAAAAAAAAAATTCCCCTTAGAAAGCAAGAATATCATTAAATTATTTGGGTTAGGGGATGGATTAAGCTTGACCCTGGGTCATATGCCAGGAACAGCTATGCCTTGTGACTGGGCTAGACCTTAACTTTACAAAAATATTATAGTGTGACTAGGAGGACATAGTTAACAACACTAACCCTTAGCAGCATCAGGAAGACGGCCTTCAATTGGTGGTTCAGGTTTGTCCTGAGATTAAAAGGATTTCAATTAGAACTTAAAAGAAGTTGAGAAGCTAAAAATTAGATAACAAGACAAATGCCAATACCAGAACTAACTTCAAGAGTGACTGATTTGCAAGTTTGTGTGCATGTGTTAACATATGACTACAGACTATTCATAGAACATGATAGAATAATAAATATGAATCTGGAAACACCCAGTCCCAAGAATTCAAAATGAAAGGAAAATTATTAGTGAAAATGTTCTCCTTTTTCTTTTTCTAAATAATTTGTAGAACCAAACAAAGTTAGGACACTATGTAAAATATCAACAGCATTGCCACAGGAACCAATAAATATAAGGGAATGATATAAAGAAAAACCACCAAACTATGAAGCACGGGCACGGACACAAAACACTGACTTCTAAAAAATAAAGATACAAACACGACAGGAATATGGCAATATAATATATTATTTGCTATGTGTATGAATCTAACATCCAAAAAAACCGAAAATAATGAAAAATACTGACACTAATTCAACATAAAAAATAATGAAAAGCATTTAAGTTCAATAATAAGTTGATCATCCATAAATCACAAGGCAATTAAGCAAGCATCCAAGCAATTGATTGTTCTAAATGAATAAAATATTTTTAGTTTTTTCCACTTTCTCCCCTCTTTGTTTTCATACGTTTTATTTTGACCTCAACTTTCTAAATTTTTTTTGAAAAAATCCAGAAATATGTCCTAAGGTCCCCAACGCCAAAGTAATCAAAAAACAAATAATTAAAAAAATTGACATGCTTCGTGGCATGTCCGACACTTGGACACATGTGTCTATGATGTGCCTATGTCTGACACATGGCACCCACTTTTGTGTGTCCATGCTCAATGCTTCCTAGCCACCACAATACTTCATAATTCCAAATTCCTTTGCCATATTATCTAACAGAACATTTACTATACCCGAACATCAAGTTGTTTTAACAAATGACTTCTGACAACTTTATTAGCAGAATGCCATTCATGTCACCCAACCATTAGCAGAAACATAAAGGAGATAAAAATAGAAATACTAACAAATATAACAAAAACAAATGAATATACATAACAATTTCACAAAAATCCAGCATTAAATTAATTGAGCAGAGCCATTTAAGATCAACACCAGCTGCCAGTCAAAAGATTATTCCAAACCAGAACATATTTCTGCTAAAACATCCATTCAGAAACCAATCTTTCACAAACCCCACTCTAATAATGCAGATTATAGAAGTAAGAAACACAACAGCCGTGCCACATTAGAGAAAATAAGGAAACCGAAGTTATGGTCCAAGAGATGTGTTAAGTCCAAATGCATCAAAACCGGATTCCCAAGTCAAAAACAACAATACAAGCAAAATGAATCACACTAAAAGCAGAAAGAATCTCGAACCGAAGGTAATTATCCATGAACCTTTATTATGATATAAGTGGTAGGGTTATTTCCTCACCAACCCAAATTCACTAAAAATGTAAGCAACAAAACTATGAACTTATAAAATTACGCAATCCTACAGGATCAAGTCGTAACAATCACAAACATACTTCATCCTAAATAACTGTTCAGACATTAGATATATGCAACTATAAAAATAAAATATAAAAAAAAAAAAAAACCAAAACAAAGAGCAGAGAATGAAATTATACAAACCTCCCGTCCTGGATGGAATGGAACATACAGGATCAAGTCGTAACAATTCACAACATACTTCATCCTAAATAACTGTTCAGACATTAGATATATGCAACTATAAAAATAAAATATAAAAAAAAAAAAAAAAACCAAAACAAAGAGCAGAGAATGAAATTATACAAACCTCCCGTCCTGGATGGAATGGAACATCAGGTCCTCCCGTAATTTCAACGGCAACAACTCCAGCCAACTATATTCAACCAATTTATTAAAAATCAACATTTGCAACAAGAATCTCATCCTAACAATAAGATAAGATGCATTATATATATATATATATCAAGAGATAGACCTGATAGAAGTCGCCGTAAGAGAGTATTGGGAACTGTTCCTTGAGAGGCTCCAAGAGCCCGACAGCAATCTCAAGGCCATTGTTGGCTTCGTGACCTTGCTCAAGCTTGTGCCTCATTGTCCCGAACGGACCTCCGGTCTTGCTGTTCACATCATAAGTACCTGCAGAGTGCCATCTGCATACACAACAACACATCGTCAAATTCCACCGATCTCCGTATCAAAACCACATATATAGATACATAGATATACATATATATATATATGTGGAGAGAGAGAGAGAGAGAGAGAGAGAGAGAGAGAGAGCATACGCGAGACGGAGCATCAATGGAGCACAGTTCTTCTCAGCGATGAAGCCTCTGAGCTTCCTCTTGGCTTTGTCAATAGCCTTCTTGTACTCTTCGCTCACAGTTGGATAGCACTTCCCCATAGCTGATGCTTCTATAACAAATTCAAACACAGTAAACACATATTTCAGATCAATCGACCAACAATAATTCAAATCAAATCGTGAAGAACACAATCGGCGAAAAAAACAATAGCGATTGCGATTAAAATAGTGATCGAAACAAAGTAACATTGAAGATCGAGAGAGATCGGTGAAGCAATAGTCGAGAAAACGAACCTTCTGAAACAGAGACTGAGAAACTGAGAAATGTGAGAGAGAATGAAATGCGAAGCCCTAGCAGAACGGCACGAGTAGAGCACAAGCTCAGACTGTGAGACGAGGAAAGATATAGGGGTTAGGAGAATTGTGGACCGTCGGATTGGTTCTATCTTACGGTTCTGGTGGTAGGTGGAAAATTTTTAAATGGAAGCAAAAAATAATAATAATAATTAATGGGAAAAGGGAAACAAAAAAAAGGTATCACACTACTACTTAGAAAAATGCGATACAATAAGGACGGACTTTGTGGAAATTATTATCTTATTTTATGTTGTGAAATTACTAATCTCACCTTTTTGGGTTTCTTTGGAATCACTAAAATGACCTTTTTGGGTCTCTTTCAAATATCTGATAGTATTGCTGGAATTTTTTTAAAATATATAAATTTCTAAAAGATATTTTGACATTTTTAAAATTACTTTTGCGCCAAAAAAAAAGCCATTTGAAAATTTTGAGTATTTTTTATTTTTTATTTATTTACTAAATTAGTTTTTTAATTAAAAAACAAACTCTAAAAATTAAAATAAACAAAGTGATACAAATTATTTGTTGCATTTGCTTCATTTATTTTTAAGAAAAAAATTATACTTCTAGTTGTACTGGATTAGATAGACTAGAAAAATAAAAATAAAAAATTGTAAAAAATTCACTGAAAGCAAAATAAAATTAAAAAAAAGACCAAAACAAATTAGTTTTTTTAGCATTTTCTTATCGGTAGTTAATTTTTTTTTATCTTTTCAAAAATAAAATTACTTTTTATATTCTTCTACATCCTTTTACATCAAATCGACTTGAAATTTTTTTAAAAAAAAAAAAAATCAACACAAATTAAAAAATGATGATATTAAGCCTTCGTTTGGGATGTATGTTAGCTTTTTGATTTTTTAGTTATTTTAGCTTGAAGCTAAAAAGCCTCGTTTAAAATATGTTTTTTAGTTTTTTTTTACTTTTGTGGAAGAAAAAATGAAATAATTATAAGTTGAATATGATATTTTGTCTTATTTGGTTAAAATAGTCTATTTTGGGGATGTTTGAGAAGAAAGATTTTAGCCTATTTTAAGCTAAAATTCACAACAAGACAAAATAGGCTAAAATAGTTAATAAGACAAAATATCACATCAAACCCATAATCATTTCACTTTTTCTCTCACAAATATCATATCCAATTACAAAAAAATCGAATCATCTTCTCAAACACAAAAATTTTAGCCTACTAAAATAGTCAAAAACTAAAAGAACCTACTAAATGTTTGAGAAGAAAGATTTTAGCCTATTTTAGGCTAAAATTCACAACAAGACAAAATAGGCTAAAATAGCTAATAAGACAAAATATCACATCAAACCCATAATCATTTCACTTTTTCTCTCACAAATATCATATCCAATTACAAAAAAATCGAATCATCTTCTCAAACACAAAAATTTTAGCCTACTAAAATAGTCAAAAACTAAAAGAACCTACTAAAATAGCAATTTTTCAAACACCCACTTTGTCTTTTATGGCTATTTTAGCCCAAGTGATCTTCCCAAACGAACCTTAAAGAGAGAAAACAAATTTTAAAAATGTAGTCTTCGTTTGGTAAGCCTCTCAAACTATAGTTACACCCATTGATTTGAGTGTATTGTTTGTTTTGAGCTTTCAAATCATAATTCTACATCCATTTCTCAAAACTCAATTCAAAACATAATCATTACTTTTCAAAACTCATAACTAAACACATAATTCAAAACTCTTTTCTGTTAGACTTATTTATTTTGATGATTTATTTAATTATGTTTTAATTTATTTGGAAGAGAAAAATAGAATCAAAATTTATTTTGATGATTTATTTGAAAAAAGAAAAATAGAATAAATATTTATTTTGATGATTTTATGTTTTAATAAAATCAAAATGTATTTTGTCCCATTATTTCTCACCTAAATCTTTATGCTAAATGTTGTTAGAATGTATTTAATATTTGATTAAATCATGAGTTCAAACAGCCCAAAAACATAGGTTCAAACAACCCAGCATAGCAGCAGTTCAAAAGGTTCAAGTGGAAGATATTCAAATTTGTAATAATGGAGTGGAAGATATTCAAATTAGTAATGATGGAGTACAACGGCTATAAATTCAAATGATTACAACGGCTATAAACGGTTATAATTTTTATTATATATACCAAAGCTTCTAATGTAAACAAGTTACAAAAACCTAAAAATATTTTTTGAAGAAATTTGAAACAAACTTGAAGTAACTTATGAAGGTACAACCAAGTAAAGGAATCTCGTATTGATATGCTTGTTCATAGTTATGAATTGTTTAAAATGAATTCTAATGAATCTATTTCAAGTATGTTTACTAGATTTACTGAAATTGTAAACTCTTTAAAGTCTCTTGGCAAAACTTATACTAACAGTGAGTTGGTAAGAAAAATTCTTAGGTGTTTACCAAAGAATTGGGAAGCAAAGGTCACTGCCATTATAGAAGCCAAAGATCTCTCCACACTTGGATTGGATGAGCTTATGGGTTCCCTTATGACTCATGCGATCACCACGAAATGACATGAATACAATTTAACACACACATACTCAGTCAATTCGATTCCAGTTTTCAGTCGGTCAGTTCAGTACCTTAGGCAGTTCAATTATCAGTCATTATCAGTCCCATTTAGCAGTAATCGATGATTAACGGTAATCATTCAGTCATTAATCAGTAAACAGTATGAGGGTTGTTATATGCGATCACCATGAAATGACATGAGGATGTTGAAAACAAAAAGAAAAGTGGAATTGCACTCAAAGCCTCATCAAATGAAGAAGAACATGAAAACTCCAGTGAGGATGAAAGCTATGCTATATTTAGTAGAAATCTCAAAAAGTACTTCAAGAAAAATAATTATGGAGGAATAAAACCTTTCAAGAAAAAGTACAACAAAGATAACAAGAAAGAGCCTATTATTTGCTATAAGTGCAAAAATCCTGGACGTGAAGATAGATTGTCCAAAATTGAAAATCATGTAAAAGACCACAAAAGAAACAAAAAGGCCATGGTAGCAGCTTGGAGAGAAAGTGACGATGAAGGCTCAAGTAATGAAATTGAAAATGAAGTAGCCAACTTATGTCTCATGGCTCTTGAAGATGAAGACTCTACTCAAGATGAGGTAACTATTCTTTATAAAGAACTTGAAAGTGCATTCCATGAACTATCAAATGAATTTAAAAAAGTTTGTGCCAAAAATAATATGTTGAAGAAATCTGTTGCATCTTTATCTATTAATGTAGAAGAATTAAAGAAAGAAAAAATTGTTTTGAAAAATGATTTTGACACCATCTTTAATGAGAAAACTGCTTTACAAAACAATGTTAATGATTTAACAAAAACACTTGAAAATTTTGTAATAGGTAGAGATAATCTTAACATGCTTCTTGGAAAATCAAAGATGTGTTTTCGATAAGGCGGGCATTGGATATGACCCTATTAAAAAACAAAAGAATCTCAATACAATTTTTGAAAAGGCACCTCTCATGACTCACCCTCATATTACTTGTCATTATTGTAGAAAGAAAGGCCATTATATATCTTCTTGCCCATTAAAAAATAATATAAACATGGGAATTAAAAAGATTTGGATTGTTAAGGGATCTAACAAAACTAACTAAGAAGGACCCAAGAAACTATGGGTACCAAAAACCAACACTTGATTGTCATCTTGTAGGTTTGTTTTAAGTCCAAAGCTAAAGAAGGGAAGTGGTACCTTGATAGTGGATGTTCCAGACACATGACCGAAGATAAACCATTCTTTACTAAACTATCATTGAAAGATAGATGATTTGTTATTTTTGGAGACAACAAGAAAGGAAAAATCATCGGAATTGGTAGTATTGATATTTCTCTTAACCCTTCTATTGAAAATGCTTTACTTGTTGATGGACTTAAGCATAACCTACTTAGTATTAATCAATTATGTGATAAAGGTAATCGAGTTATTTTTGATAAATCACATTGCACAATTGAAAGCATACATGATCATAAAGCTTTATTTGTTGGTAATCGCCATGATAATGTTTATGTTTTTCATCATCATTGAAAGATAGAGGATTTGTTATTTTTGGAGATAACAAGAAAGGAAAAATCATCGGAATTGGTAGTATCGGTATTTCTCTTAACCCTTCTATTGAAAATGTTTTACTTGTTGATGGACTTAAGCATAACCTACTTAGTATTAATCAATTATGTGATAAAGGCAATCGAGTTATTTTTGATAAATCACATTGCACAATTGAAAGCATACATGATCATAAAGCTTTATTTGTTGGTAATCGCCATGATAATGTTTATGTTTTTCATCTTAATGATCTCTATGCTAGTGATGTTAAATGTTTATATGTTAATAATGAAAATAGTTGGTTATGGCATAGAAGACTTGGTCATGCTCATATGGATTTAATTGCTAAACTTTTGAGAAAGGATTTGGTCATTGGACTTCCAAAAATTAAATTTGAAAAAGATCATCTTTGTAGTACTTATCAACAAAGAAAACAAACTAAAACATCATTTAAATCAAAATCTCATATTTCCACAACTAGACCTTTACAACTATTGCATATGGATTTATTTAGTCCCTCAAGGATATCTAGTCTAGGTGGTAAACGTTATTGTCTTGTTATTGTTGATGATTATTCAAGATTTACATGGCTTATGTTTTTAGCACACAAAGATGAAACATTTTCTTCTTTCACAGAACTCTGTTGTAGAATTCAAAATGAAAAAGGCTTTCTTATTACTAACATTCAAACCGACCATAGTAGAGAACTTGAAAATGAGAAATTTGAATTGTTTTGTGACGAGCATGGTATTGGACATAATTTTTCAGCACCTAGAACCCCTTCACAAAATGGTGTAGTAGAAAGGAAGAATAGAACTTTAGAAGAGATGAATAGAACAATACTTTGCGAAAATAATCTTCCTAAATATTTTTGGGCCGAAGCTGTTCACACAGACTGCTATATTTTAAATCGTGCATTAATTAGACCTATTCTCAAAAAGACTCCTTATGAACTTTGGCATGATAGAAAGCCCAACATTAGTCACTTGCATATTTTTTGTTGTAAATGTTTTGTGCATAATAATGGTAA